TTTTCCCAGAACACTCCTCTTGTTCTCCCAGTGGTCCACTTGCCACTGAGGAAACCATAAATAAGTACTAATAAAATATTTAATCAAAATAGCAGCTTTGGGCTGTATTACAAAATCATTTGCTTACTCAATCATCAGCAGAGGCGTGCATACCTGAAGGTCTGACAGACCAGCCTCTTCTACAGTAGTCAGTTTTCCTTTGGAAAACAAAACAAAAAAGTAATGAAAAACAGGTCTTGTCTGTCAAGAAATTATTGATTGTTTCTTCCTCATATCTCCCTATTCTAAAGCAGCAAAAGAATGTAAATTGAGACTGAAAACTTAAAATTTGGGTCTACAAATAGATATTATACAAATTTTATCAAATTTACCTGAGATTTTGTTAAGTCATCTTCTACAGCATCAGTACTGGTCCAAAACAAGCTGTGTGGGAGTATAATGTTACCAATACACAACAGTGGCATTATTTCCACTTGAATGGATTAAAATGGGGAGCTGGACTTATAGAATGAAGTTACTACCTTTCCTTTCTAATCAGTTGCTCTTTGGTCATCTGGATTTTTTTCTTGATTTTACAGCACTCAACTCCCAACAAGCACTCTGATGTGGTGAAAGGCAAAGACATCTTTCAGTCATGAAGAAAATCTCTCTCTGAAATCTTATCTAGGGTGCATAAACTGCAAAGATGAGAGCACTGCCAGAAATCACCCTAAGGGAGCTATGACAGATTTGAAGCTAACGGTTTCTAATCCATTGTTTGCAAGGACAGATACATCAACAACTCAACATGAAGCAACAGCAAAGCAACACTTACACTTTTTGTGATGGATGCAGGTAAAGGACTGTAATTTTGCAGGCTTTGGCTGTTTCCTTTCCATGTATGCAAGAAAAAAGACTATTAATCTCCTACTTTGTCTGATTACTTACTGCCTGTCAGTGACATAATGTTGCTATGAAAGAAGCAAATTCAGCAAGTTTCCCGATTTCAGGTCCTTGTGCGTATCTGCCCAGCAGCAGAGCACTCCCCATGGAAGCAACCTATAAAACCCACAGACAACACTTCTCTGGAAAAGCCTGTTGTGGTGACAGGTTGCATATAATTCACTTTTTCAACTCCAGGAAGTTTAAGGAGAAAAAGCATGGGAAAGATGCTGAAACACAGGGTTTTACCAGCTCCCCCACTCTTCCTTCCCCACCTCCCCCATGCTGGGCAAGCCTCTTTGCACAAGTAGGATGGCACAGAAATGTTTATTCAAGACTGTGCTGGCTGGAATATCAATGCAGCCTAGCAATGAGCTTAACAGCAAACAGGAAGGAGGAAAAAAAACTCTGCCATGAAAGAAACAAATAGCCGGAGATGAGCTTTCCCAGCAGGTACCACATCATAATTCAGAGCATGGCAGTATCAGAGATCAGCACTTGTGATACAGGAGGCTTCTCTAGGAAAACAAGCTCTAGGTTCCTAACGCTTATAAAGGCAGGACTATGCATTACTGTCAGTAGATCTGAAATTGTTGCCCTTTATTATTCTTTATTAGCATCAAATTATGTTAGTCAAGTAGATTTGAAGAAATCTGATGCAAGGAGAAGCCTGCTGTAAATACTGATGTGAAAAGATGCATTTTGTATGCGATGAAAGCAATGAATGAGCTGTCGTCTTTATTTAGTTTAATTCATTGTTGTCCTTAGTAATAGCAAAAGCCTTTATCAAGATAGAATGTTAAGCTCTGTCTAGGGCCCAGACAGTTTATTTTCAATTCATGTTCCTCTGAAAGTAAAGACTTTGAATTATTATTAAAACCTATATGGACTGTTGCTGGCTCCTAGAGTTGCTCAAGGAAATTCAAAAAGAGCAGACATGCAGACATAGGAATCTATTAGGCAACACTTTCTCGTTGTATGGAAGTCTCTAAGATAATGAGTGAATTGGAAAAAGGTGTAAGATTATTAGCTTCCTTTACTGTCTGACCCAACATAGGAGCTGGGCTGCTTCCCGTAAAATAGCAGTTTGTGATAATTTTATACAAGTGATTAAAATAGGTAATGAATCCCTTGAATTATTTTTTCCTCCCTTTTTTGTGAAAAAACATGTGCTAGTTAGCCAAAAGTCCCCATTGACACAGAATATTGCAGCAAGACAGGAGGAGTACTTGAAAAAACCCGTATTCATCTTATCTGCCATCAATTATCCCTACCCAGAAGTCAACAGAAAGGAGAAAATCAGCCTTTCACTGCTGGCGAGCCACATCGTCCCCACACAGATCTAGCATGTTAGAGCACAGGCCTACTCAGAAAGTATGTAATAGTCTTCCTGCACTCGGAGCAAATCTAGATCATGGGCTGCAATCTATAGCCATCAAAGCTCCAACAGCCGGCATCAAGACTGGCTGTACATGCACAGTGGATACAACCCAATGCACAACGTCGGCTGCTTGTCTCTCATCTGGACAGACCACACTTCTATGGGTGATCCAGAAGTATCATTCAGTCCTTGGTCCCTTTAAAGATGGCAACTGTGGACTGTTTTTTAAATAATAAAGAGCAACTGCTGTGGTAAAATTGGGTTGATTTTAATTTTTAATTTAAAGCTAGAATATTCCTATAATCAATAAAATTGCATAGGCAGAAAGCAAAGGAGTTAATTAAGTGCATACGTTTAACTATACTGAGAAATTGGATTAATTGCAATGCTAATTATTCTTTGCAATGCTCATATTTTAATGCAATCTCCTAGAAGGAACCAATATTTTTTTACAATATATCTCCAGATATTTTAAAGTATTTTTGGTGAAGTGACTGGCATAGAAATTTCTGAAGCTCTAAACATATATTCTAAATGGATATTGCTTCCAAGTTTCAAGAAACAAGTTGAAATGAGAACAGAAAAGTGTATTTACTTCCACTGCTCTTCTGGGCATTTGGGGAGGCAGAGCAGGTGAGAATAAGAGAAATGAAGAACATCCAACACCAGACAAAAACCATGCATTAAGTCTGATAAAAAAAATTACTTTGAGCAAGGCAAAGGCATGCCCATCATCTGTAGGAGTGAAAAGGCAGACACGCACACAGCTCAACTAGACAGGAAAGGACAGAATCAAGTGTCCCAAATGTGAGGCAACTATCTGACGTGAAAAAACTAACCGATAACTATTGGCAGGAAGTATTTTAACACCAGTCCTCTTGACTGTCAGTCTGATATTCATTAAATAAATAAAAAAAAATAAATTAAAAAAGGCTTTAAGAAGCAGCATTTAATTACTCATGGAACGTTTTCATTGCTATTACAAAGCAGTAGTTTTTAATTCCAGATCATATTAATAAAAATATGATCTGATCATGATCATTAGGATTTACTGTAGTGATCTCATTCTCACACACAGTGCCTTTGTATTTAAAATAAAATGTCATTAAAAAGCCACGGGAATTTCATCACTAATGTGTGGGTAGCATACTCTTAATTTCCTCCTGCAGATACTGAGCTGAGACCAATCATGCAAGATTTTCCAGTATGTAAAACAACTGTCTCTTTTCATTATAAAGAATATGAAGCAAAAGGAACACTGAAATAATAAGGCTGAAACAACAATTTTCCACACTTAGAAAATCTGCTCACACTTCATCTAGGAGCACTACTTTCTTTCAAGAGCTAATTTTTCCCAGGAATTCTTAAAACAAGGTGTAACGTCCCTTTGTTCAGAGTTCAGTTCTGGGTCAGCAAGCAAACCAACAATAGACTATTCAACCTACCTGTCATGCAGATGATGGTGCAATCTCAATTGCCTGGAAGACTTTATGAAAAACTGACTGAAGATCAGTGTAAGTTCCAAAGTTTAAAGAATTTCCTTCTTTTTTTTAATACAAAAAAAGGTCAAGCAGATTTAATAGCAAAATGTATAAAAGCAAGAGTAATGCATGCCTTAGAAAAAAGTAATTACAGGGAAAAAAAATTATCTTCAATAATAACTTATTTCAGGCAAGTGCAGACTCTGACACCACCACATACAGACGTGACATAGACCCGTAAGCTTTCAGAAACATTAAACAAAGAGCCGAGACCTCCAAGACCCTGAGCATTTTACAAAATAAGGCAAGAAAGAAGGAAAATACAAAGCAGGCAGCTTTCCAAAATACAATACGTGTAAAAGTATATGTAACAAAAGTTAAATACATTTATCAGAAGATACACGGTATATACAATAGGAATGAGGAGTTTCATAAATATTAAGATTATTCTCTGGAAAACATGAACAGTTTAAACAAATGAACTCTGGATTAAGTCTATTTAACATTTACTTAGCCCTCCATCTCCTTCAGACCATAATATCTGACCCAATCTTGAACACTGCTGTTGGACAGCCTTCCTGTCAGATGCCATATACAGCCGATACAATGCCCTTTGTGTGTGTCTTTTAATCTTGTCACATCTCTCAGCTTCTGCTTTAGTGTTTAATAGTTCACCTTTTGTCTGATTGCTCAGGTTCCAACCTTTGCAGATCTGCAGACCTGCCAGACAAGGAACAAAATACTCTTTTCTAAATAGATAAGGGAACATAAAAATAGCCATGGGTCAGGTTTCACTCTAAGTTAATAAGACAGTGGTCTGATTCTGTGAAGTGTTGTCAAGGTGAGTCAGGCTTCCTCATCTGCTTGGCTTACTGCTGAAAGCAGATGAAATTGCCAAAAACTTTTAAGACTTAAACCTTTAACAGGTTGGGAGCAGGGACCAAAGCAAAGTACAACTGCCCAACCCACCCATGTTTACACTATATCCACCTACATGAAGTTGCCTCTTACACTGCTGGACTGGCAGAGTTGCATCAAGATGAAAGCCTTGGTGCCAGCATGGCTCAAACTTATCAGGACTTAACATCCCTGCCCTACAAGACTGAAGGCATACTGGGATCAAAAAAGCCACTAGAATTTTCCAGTTGTCAGCAATGAGAGTTGTCAAACAGAACTTCTAGGTTTCTCTGTAATAGCCCTTGAGCTCAAAATCTTACCTCTTCATTCTCTGAGTGACCCAACAAATTGGCATCAACACTTTCTTTTCTTACTATTCTTTCCAAAGTTCTAGATAAAAGAACATTTTCACAATGAGTTCAGTAGTTTAGATCTAAAAGCTTATTACTCAAACCACAAGTGATTTGAGTATAAATGAAAACATGGATTTTACATATCTAGTATTTAGCTTCCCAGGATACTGCTGCATTTCCATTGCTGTCAAAATGCTGGAGCAAGCATCAAAATGGCACCATTCAAAGCTGAACTGAGGATGAGAGTCCTGGCTTCGCTGAGGTCTCCTAGGGTTTTCCAAATACACAGACCACATGCTGCAGTGCACTTCAGAGACACCCCCTGGTAATGTACAGCCTCCACCCACTAGGCTAAGGGCCACATGAAATGAATTTGCACACTCCACAGGAAACAGACTCCACTCGGGTTTCAGAGCAGATTTAAGTGGCACTGCAATCATGACCATCGTGGCCGTGACATTGGTGTAAAGGTAGTGGGGGCTAAATCAAATGGAAGTCACTGGAAAGGCTAACAGTGTCCTACACCAAAGTTAATCAGTAAGTCTTATACATCATGGTGCTGCAAAGCCAGCTAACCACAGCAACAAAGTTTTTGCCAGATCTAGCAGTCATATATTAATCCCACAGCAGAAGGATATGGCAGCTTTCAATGTTCAAAGAAACATGTATTTTTTTCCCATTACAGGGAAAATGTTTTGAGGTTACTCTCATTACTATGTCAATGTTTATGTAGATCCTCTTTAATAAAGTTGTATTAATCAATCTCCCTCCTACATATATGCTGGTGGTCTTGGAAAGACAAGAAAGAGGTATTCAAAAATGCATGCAGATTGCATATATTATTTAACAGAAATATTTTCATATGGGTAAAATGAAGAGTTAACCAAGCAATTGAAAGTCAGGATAAACCTATTTCAATCCAAAAACTTTGTGTTCCTCTAAAACCTGGTTTATGTTATCACAGAAAATAAACGGATTCCTTGTTCCTTTCCCAGACTTTGACTCCCTGCATCTCTCTGACTGTTCTGCTGGTAATGACCTTTGGCTAGGAGACTGTACATGGAAGAGTACACAATGTTTTCACAATTTTCTGCCTTCCTTTAATCCACCATCTCCAACACCACAGTCCCAATCTCTCTTCCATTATCACTCCCTTAATGGGCTCCTATCAGAGATATCCTTCCTACTTTTCAAGTCCCATTACAGTGCTTAAGAAGATGCACACAAAATGGAAATATTTATAAAACTGTTAAACTGAAATACACTATGTATGCTGAAGACCAAAGTAAAACTGGCAATGCCATTATTATGCATAACTATATATTTACATTTTACATATAATCTACATATTACCTATTTCCTGGTTTGTTTGTTTTTTTCAAATGTGAGCAGACTTAAGTACAACTAACTTTTTAAATAAAGCTTGCGAAAAGCCCGTTTGTCTTCACTGCAACCTCATAAATTTGCAACCTCACTTACGAAGAAAAAGCATGTGGAAGGAAAAAGCCTTTTTGACAGGCATCCTCTGTGCTGATCCATTTAAAGGAAGCTGGATATTCAAACAAATACTTAAAATGTAAAAAACATTATTCTCTGTTTTGCAGTGGCAACAGATAAAGCTGCTGATGTGGCACTTTCCCAGTATCTGCATATGATGTCCAAGAATTACAAGGTTTGTGATTGGAAGGTTTTCACGTCCCAGTGAAATTTTAGGTGCTAAGGTGCAGAGAGGCAATTACTGCTTATTCAGGAAAGGTTAGGGAAACAAAGGAAAAAGTCATCACGTTTGCTTCATCTTATACATTCATGCAATTCATGGTGACTCATAGCTGCTGACAAAGCCTGGGCTCCCAAGGAAGCCTCAGGCTTTTGGGTGTCATTTTTTTTAATTTTGAAGCGAGGATAGATGTAATTATCATGTAGCTGATACTCATCCCACTAAAACTATTATGTGCATAAAACAGCAAATAAAACACACACTAGAACTAGATGAGAGCTGGTTACAGGACCAGCTCAGTGCAGCCTGCACAGATCAGCTGCAGCTCTGCGAGGCTACCAGTTCACACTGGTTTTCCAGCAGCCTACTTCCAGCCAGAAGGCATTTCCTTCAGGCAGCAACAAACTGTGCAGGACACAGACACAAGTCAGTCCAGGATGAGGCCTGAGGCAAATGAATTTTGTAGCACAGCACTATGTAAGTAGAACAATCATGAAGTAGTACATACCTAACTAAAAAGGGCTGACCTACAGTATATTCTGAGAATTCAATACGCAATGATAAGAGACAGGTGAGACAGTTGTCCAGACCTGTAAGGGAAACAAAAGAAATTTTCCACAAGAAAACTACAGCTCATCTAAAGCAAAATAGGGGGCAGTAAATTCAGTTTGCAGATTCAGCAAATTCAGAAGGAGAAAACGAGGATAATTTATGTCTGAATTCTTGCTGGTCTGTGGCCAGCTTTCACTAAAATGTAGTAAGTGTCTAATGCTTATACAGCATCTTTCATCCCAAACACTCCACAACACGCATCTCCACTGAAATACTGGGCATTTCAATACTAGCACAAGCAATAAATAATTTCCACAAAAAAACCCCAAAATATTTTCCTGAACTGGCTAGGAAAGCTGTGGGCAAAAGACTGCCCAGTTAACACATCCTATATAAATATCAAAACAGGACTCCTATAACCAATGTTCCCCTTCCGAAAAATCCAAACACAATCTCATACGGGCTTATTATTTGTTTCACATAAGGGAGGCTTCACAAACAACTCACAAAGTCCATATAAACAGAGATGAAAACATGCACATTACATTTAGATAAGCCATGAAGTCTTTCTGACAGAGTTCTGGGCAGCTGACAGTTTGTGTTTCACTGATTTTATATGTCAAATAATAGACATTGTGATGCCAGACATTTGACTACACAATCATTAAGCAATACTTTAGCAAATCCAGAAGAGCTTAGAAGCTACCCATATGGTCAGCAGCTGATTTTAGCCACCAGTAAAGCAAAATTATGTTGCTGTAGTAAGACACACAACTGCTGTACTCAGATGACATCATTAATTTAGAAACTACTGAGGAGAACCTAGCAAAGCCACTATCGTGATTGCTCATCTACAGCAAAGAATGATGTGTCAGGTGAACCACACTGTTTACTCCAAGACACAGACATCAGGACCAAGCAGCTTTTCAATAGCTCATGGCCATCACTGAATTACTGTGGTCTGTACCGTTGCTCAATGTGATGTGAAGCAATGGAAAACCATGTATGCACATAAAAAAGTGACAGAAGGTAGAAGCATAAGAGGAGAGAAAAGGAAAGAAGGGAGATGGTGTTATTCTGTATGTTAGCGTCTCAAGAACATAATCTGAGATCAGTTTGAAGTGATTATAGCTAAATAACATCAAATAAATGAAATCATAACTGTCACATTATATTGGAGACTGCTTAAGTACCTAACTGCCAATACTGCTTGGTCCCAAAGAGCACTGGAGATCACAAAGCTGCAACTGTCACAGCACATGCATAAAAGTCATGCAGACAGCAGATGTGATACAAACACTCCCTGCTCGGCCTAACAACTGTCAAGAGTGTCTCAGTATCATGGAACGTGTGCACAACTGCAACCGTGCTGTGCAGCTGCTGACAGAGCCTGCATGCTCCCTGCATGCCTGAGCTAAACCTGGTAATTGCTGCTGCTATCATCCTCAACTGCTGTGTCCTTCACAGTTGGTCTTTCATTAGCTCAAGCAAACTGCACACCAAGTTTTCTGACTGTCTTTGGTGATATATCTATCCAGCAAGCACTGGTAGCTACAGCAGCCACCTACCTGAACCTGCTGGCCACCTCCTCGGCCATGGCAGGAGCCCACCCACATGTCTTCCAGGACAACTGCCTGCCCATTTCAGTAGTTTCACCTATCTGGAGTACAACAGAAAACATGCAATGCTGTATTTCTCAAATGTAAAGCACAGGGAACTCAAGTTACTTTTCCCACATGGATAAGATGGGTTAAACAGAAAATAGTAACAAAATGAGGTATTTTCCAGGACTTATTTACACATCTCATCAGTATTACAACTGTATGAACAGGAACACAAACTCCATTCCTACCTCCAGCCATAACCCTTGTTTAGTTGTCTTACAAGATTTTGGGGCAGAAACCATCTCCCATGTAGTGCATGCCTCTCCTATGCAGGACAGCTCTGAGCATAGGCCTCTGAGGACATGCCAGATAATTGCTGAGAAGTGGACACCAACTCCAGAAAGTTTCTTTTTTGAAGAAAACTCTCAGTAGTTGATTTTAAGATTCCCACAGAAACTTTCGGAGGTTTTCTTTCCCACAGACTTTCAGAGCCTCATACTGAACGAGTTGGCCTTACAAGCGTATGAAACTCCTGGCATGGACTAGCAAAGGAAAATGCAGCAGTTTGCCATCCTGGAGAACTTAACTACACAGCCAAACACAGTGAGATTGAGCAGTTCATGAAATTATTCTTCTTTGTTTATACTTTCTTTTGGAAGTGATACGAATGTGAATTATTTAAAATGAGTAGTCTGCTATGCAAGAAGAATAGCACAAATTCAGAAATAACTGAGACAAGCTGTAAAATGGTCTGTACAGATGGCTCTGAATTCCTGTTGCCATTCAAAGGAGCATAAGGGCTCACTTAGAGCTAATGAATGACAGTTTTTTTGTTTTGCAGGTCCTGGGTTTTTAACAAGTCAGCTATAACAAGAATGCTTTTTAACTCTACACAGTGAAGAAGTTTTCCATGTGAAGACATTTCCTAGCATAAAAGAGAATTAATCAAATCAGGGATGCAAGCAGGTCCTAACACATACTTAAGTTTTAAATAGTCTATAAGATATGTGCCTCTTAAAACCCTCTCTACTTTATTTAGTCACATAAATATATACACAAAGAATGATGGGGAAGGCTACGAAGTTACCTTCAAAACTGGGCAGGAGACAGATGTATCACAGCACTACAAATTATCTCTTAAGTAGGAGGGATGTGGGAAAAACTGGAGGAGAAAGGATTGCTCATGTGCTATTTCTTCTGGTTAGTATGTTTGACTAACCAACAGTATACTCTTGTGCTTCTCTTACTCTTAACAACCTCTAGAGAGCAAGCCAGATGCTTGTGCAGTGTCAGGAGGAGCCCAGGAGCTGGACACGAACTGGTGACTTAGCACCAGGATGTTTCCATGGGCTCTGCCCGCGTTCTACCTCCTGAGCAAATCTATAACAAGCCAGAAAGACTAAATTCTTTTATAATTTCTCAGTATCTTTAATAGATTTTTCAAACAATGAGATAAATTAGAAATAGGTATAGTATTTTTTTTAAATCTACTATGATTAGCAGGAACATATCAATAAAATTCTAATTAAAAAAAAAAATTAAAATCTTTTCTTCCAGCCTTAACGTACATGAGATTGAGATGATCAGGAAAATAACGATCACTTGTTTTTCCCCAAAGATCTCGGATTTTCAGTATTTGCCTTTCACCGTTACTAGAATGCCAGAAAAGACATTTAGAAGTGATACATCTGAATTACAATATGCTGAGTAATGACAGGTTTCTACCCTCAAAGATCTTAACTTTTACACTGAGGCCATGCACGCTATAAAATATGAACTTGTTGCTGTATCCTTGAGTTAGCCACTCTACCAATTGTCATTATGTGGCGTAAAAACATGGAACAGATCAATGCAAATATTTTCAGAGCTAAAAGAAACAACTCCTAGTACTAGTGGCAACACAAAGACTACAAAGATTTCCTTTGCTACACTGTACTTTTCAACTGAACTAAAAATTATGTTCACTGCTGATTTTTCTTTGGTTTTGAGTACAGGAAAGAAATTCTTCCACAGATCTACCTTGGAGATTTTTTTCAGAGTCCTGCATTTGCTGAAATAATAACGCAACTGTCACACAGCTGCTGAAAGACTGCCCTATGTGCAGCTGCAGCCTCACAGAGTAAGCTGCCTGATGCATCGTTATCCTCCCCACGTAGCCTTGCAAAGCAATCCCTGAGCAAGCTCTGAATGTCTTGGGACAGTCTCTAGACAAAAAGGGACTGTGCAGGAGCACAGAGCTGCTTTCAACACCCGCCACGGCTGGCAAAGGGCAGGGCCCACTGCAG